TTTTGTTTGCTTCAAAGACAAAAAATTTTGATCGTAAAACATATCAACTGCAAATAAACAACGAATAATTTGCTTATAATATTTATACAGCACAAAATGATCATATTTTGCTGCAGTTTTAAATAAATAACTTTTAAATGTGTAAGTGAATCCAAATAAACTTTTACAGAAATATTTATTGGAATTTTATTACTATATGTAAAAAAAATTGATTTAATTTGTATATTTGCTACATTTTCATATCAAATTTGCAAATAAATACTACAAAACGCCATTTTACATAAGAATTAAACAAAAAATTAAATAACATTGAAATGAATAAAAAATTGTGTTTACACACAGATGTTCAGACGTAATCATTGAATAATCTATTTTTATTTAATGTTTTGAGATATGACATACATCTTCCATTGATTTAGTTAAAACGATATATTAAGTAGGAGCAGTGACGATATAGAAATTATTTAAAATAATTCAAATTAGGAATGACATAATGAATTTAATAGTATACATAGAAATTGTACGATTTGCCGTCACGTTTTACCGATAGAATCGCGAGGCAGCACGAATCCGAGTGAACGAGAGCTCTTCAACATTTCGTTATATTGCATAACGTACGTATTATATCTACTTCGTTGCTATATATCGCTCATGCGCATCTCGGGAGTTGCAATCAGCGCGCAGGCACACATTAAATACGATCCCTGGCGCGCTATTAATGCTGCACACGCCTTCATCAGCTGTCTGAACGAATAGATGAACACGAAGGAGCCCGGGAGATTTGCCGAAGCACCTTCACGTGCATCTCCGTGATGAAATCCGATAGATACAACGTTCAACGGTTCACGTTGCAAATGTGCTGATGTAAAGACGTGTAGCATATATTTCGCGAAGAATAATTTCCTTTGCCTTTTCTCCTTTCCTCTTTTTCATAAAGTCATTCGATATGAGCGATACGAATTTTCGTTTTTCTGAAATGATATTAATATATTTCGCTGCAAGTGTCGAATCTCCGTAATTTCCAATCATAAGAGATGTTCTATCAGCTGACGTTTTATATCCGGAATGCTATTTTATTCTTATCGATTTGTAATATCCATAGATTTCTAGAAATATCTTATATATCGCTAAACTTCGTAAAATGAACGTGAAGTTAATTTGATAGGAAAAGAGATGACGGTCATCTTTATCTGATCATGATCGAACTATTATAGCCTAAACGTGTAATTATAGATTTTATTTCTGCACTTGTAATGAAAAACTGCACACTTTGCAAATATTATTTAGTTCTTATTTACAATCATAAAAGATACAATTATATCCGAGTGACCTTCACAGATTAATACCGACACTTACAAAACATCACAAAATACTGTACTGTTAAATTCATAATGTCGAATTATATTCAATTCGAGTTATTTTTAATTTTATAGATTGCCATTGTCTTATTCAATATGTCGTTAATCTAACTACCACAATGTAGTGGGACAGTTTCTCAAAAAAATATTATATTTGATTCAAATTTAATTATTTATTAAATGTTATAATGTGGACGTTATTTTAACTAACTACATTTGGTACATAACAATAAAGATACAATAAAGATAAATATTTTAGCATAAAAATTAAAAATATGAAAATGTTATTTTCATACAAAGAATTTGCCATTAATTATTCTTTTGATATCTAACAGTATATGTGAAACTCTCCGCACGAAACACCTACATCTGTAACGCGTTAAGTAAAGTGACCTTAAAATTGAATATGTATGTAACAGTAAACTTGTTATATTAATGCACAAAGAAACTTATGAAGTAATGTTTAATGTTTAATGAGTTTTAATTTACAATCAGTACTTAATGTAACGTACACCGAAAAAATTATATTCTTAACTTAAGAATTTTTCATTTATTTTTATAGTAATCTCTTCTAAAATAAGCGCTAAAATTTTCTTAATTTCAGAGGGAATTCTAAAGAATAGATTAATATCAGATATTCTGAACTAATAAAAACTAATATTATGAATATTAGTAAAGTGAATTACTCTTATATTAAGAATATCCTAAACAGCACATTTGAAAGCGACAAGTTAGCAATCTAATAACCTATACGAGTATATTTATTTTTTGATACCATCGAAATCGTTATTTGACATGTATTAATTTGCTGCCTTGGCTACATTTAGCCTTCTTTCCAATGCATTCCGATGCACAATCACACAAAGGAAGATTAGAGACAAAGAAAATGACTTTTCACAAACACATAAAAAAAATTTTAAGTATTCAACCTTACTGTTTTTTCCGCCGATCATAATAATTTTAAATATAAAAACTAACTATTAAGAATATAAAAACGTAATTCATGCATAAATATAATAGTTAAGAAACTTATTTATAAAACTCCATCAAATCGGTTAACTCCTCTTCCTCGAGCTTCGCTATCTTCTCATCCATTGTATATTGGTATAATTTATACAATAGTGCATTTTATAATATATAAGTCGACAAATATCGATAACAAATATCAATAACAATAACGTGCTTTATACAACTACAAAATGGCAACTAGAAAACGTATAATAATGGAATTACTAATAATAATGGACTACTTGGCGCAAACTGATGCGACAGTCGGCGCATCGTAGATCGTTAATTTTATCATAATTAGACTATATTCTTAATTTCAAGAGAATATTCTAAAAAAAAACACTAACAGAAAGAAGAAAATATTCTATTTATTAAGAATACGTGTTAAGAAGATATAAAAAATATATAATTCTCTTAAGTTGAGAATACAATTTTTTCAATGTAACATAACATATTACAGATATTTTTGTACGGAGAACTTAACATGATCTCCTTGGCTTCAATTTGATCTATAAATTATAATTTGCAATATAGATTAGCAATACAGATATTTTTATAGAAATTTGTGATAATATTTGTGTTATTCATAAGAGGCTAAACATTTGATGAATATTTACTCGCATGGATCTTACCAAGACAAGCTGTCGCGGAAAAATCTACATTTCATATCGTTGCAGATTATTCCTTGGAGGCCTCATGCCGTATCTTATTTTGTAAGAATTATAGTACTGAATTTTATTAAGAAATACATATTATTATACGTAGAAATACAGTATTACTGTACGAGAAAATTCATTTTTTTAGTCGCAGAGTCGTATTGCCATACGTAAGCGAGTGCAGCTCAGCTTTTCTTGCTAAATTCTTGCGTTATATGAGGACATTGTATAAATCACGTTTATGGTACTAAATTTAATGCATTCGCCGACTCGCTTGCTACTAAACACCGCACGTGTCTTCATCTGCTTCTTCCATAGTCAAATGAATAGGAGAGGCGCATATATAATGTCGAAATAACGATGTCGTAGGAGAGCACAGGAGAGGCAATGAAGCACAGCAGCATGGCGCTATTATATAGTAATGTTCGTTTGCGGTTAATTAAGATTTAACAATTTCCACGGTAAATTCAGCTACTCGAAACATCCGTTTCGTTTCGCTGCTTGCAAAAGTAGTGTATTCTTTTCCGGCGATTTTAATTACACTACGCGTGGCGATATCTATTTCACTCGCGTAGTAAGGCTTCTTGTTGAATATTTGTACAAACGGCCACGGATGCATTCGAGTGTGTGATTACAACATAAAGGAGAAACTATAAAAAAATGTATTCCCTCTTTTCCGTGTCATGTGTGCTAACTGCAAGCAGACCACGAACCTGGCAACGAGAAATGCGGCTATGATTCGAGCACGCACGCAATGCAACGGAAGCTGCAAGGAAAAACGCGGCAACAAAACCATACGCTTAACGCGAGGCTTGGCGCTACGAGTATCTTTCTTTTGAAAAAAAAAATTAAAAACAAAACAAAACGGAAAAGCTTTGGTTTGCACAACCAGGATGCAAAGGTGTGGAGTCGTACTCGGAGCGAAGCCGGCGAGCGGGTGAAGCTGGTGAAGCTCCCGCCGCGCTGCGCCGGCTCGACCGGGACGCGAGAATATTTATGACTCGCGGCGGCAATCCGCACGAATCCGCCGATTTCTAATTAACGCTCGTTACATGCTCCGCTAGACTCGAAGATCGAGTCCGTTATCCCGATTGGCGATCGACGTTGAAACGTTGAAATGGTGGGTTCGATGTCTCGCTAATTGCACAGCGACCGAAACCGCGAAGACTCCGGGCTCGACTTTTGCACCGATCAAGGAAGACGTTGATTATCAGCATTACAAATCGCAAATTGTAGTCTTCGTTTCTTCTTGGTTCTGTCGCCACGAATGAGCATGCTAAGTAATCGAGCGTCATCGCGAACGGCGCTACTTAATCGCTATTAATTCCTCGCGTTAATCCGGGATGATGGTTAAACAAAACCGCGAAGAGCGCAGAACGTGGAATATCGGGCCCATGCGCAAGAAACTGCCGGTGCATCCGGCGAAATCCTGACAAAAAGCCGAGTCGCGGAATGGCGGTACTATGCCGCCGTATATTCCGCTGATGTGTTAATGGCAGGAATGCGGTTCGATTTTTGTGCTGTTCGCTTGGTTGGTGGACTCGCCAACCGAGTGCACGCATACATGCGCATTTAGCAGCGCGATGACGTGCCCGCCGGTCGGTTCTCTTGTTGCCGACCACCTCGCACAAGGTAGAAATACTGCGCCGCCTCTTTTTTTTCTCCGTGAACCGGCCGCCTTCCGTTCATTTCGAGTCCCGAGTACGGATTACGGGGAAATAACGAACGCCAGAGTGCAAAGGTCTCGCAATATGGCGATTATTTTACGTTCTTATTGATTCCATTTTAAGAAAGCCGCCTGACGGGCTCGCACCTGCTATATAATTCATTATGCACGGACGGAATCGATCGAAATAAAGTGAATTATTTCGAAATATTAAAAGATAGATGATCGAGATATTATCGGAACAGCTTATGTTCGTTTGCCATGTTCATTCTGGTTCCCGAGTTAATTGCGCGGTTTCTCCGCTTGTTGCAGGAAACATCAGGACCAAGGCGGTGCTCGATGTCGAGACGAAAAGGGGATACTGGTTAACCATTTACGCCCAGGATCACGGAGTGGTTCCGTTGAGTTCGAGTCTACAAGTAAGTTTCAGCAATTGGATCGTAAATTATAGAGATTGTTGAAAAAAAGAAGTGCTAGAAAAACCTTAGATATATATATATATATATATATATAAATTGACATTGCATATTTAAATTTATTAGTTTTTGCACGGAGATAAATTTTTGCAATTTTGTTTCGCTGTGAAAATAACTATTCCAACTTTTGCCTGATTTTTAAGCGATATCAGTTCGAGAGAGAAAAGTAAAGCAAAAGAAG